CATAAAGAAGGTGTTTGGTTGCCTCATGAACTCTGATCATCATCGTTTCCAACGTGTGAAGTTTGCTTCGTCTCTTCTGGCACGTGAACCATTTTTGGACAGAATTGTCACTGGTGATGAAAAATTGATTCTCTATGCAAATATTAAATGCCAAAAACAGTGGCTCAGTTCTAGATAAAAACTACTTCCAACCCCAAAACCTGGATTCCATCCACAGAAAGTGATGCATTGCATTTGGTGGGACATCAAAGGAGTAATTTATTTTGAACTCCTCAATCCACAGCAAACTGTCAATGCAGAAATCTAAAGTCAGCAACTGGAATGTTTAAATCAAGCCCTTTATCAGAATGCTCTTCACTCGTCAATCAGAAAGGTGTTCTTCTTCTCCACAATAATGCACGTCCATGTGTGCAAGTTTGATGCAACAAGATTATGGAGTTGGGTTAGAAAATTCTCCACCACCCACCATATTCTCCAGATATGGCACCATAAGATTACCATCTTTTTTCATTCACTGCAACACCATCTTAATGGGAAAGTGTATGCAAATGTGGAAGGTGTTAAAGAGGACATCAACATGTTTTTTCTTTCAAAGCCAAGTGATTTCTTTAGTCAGGGCATTAACAACCTGATTGTAAGATGAAAAAGTATCATCATTAAGAATGGAGACTGTTTTATTTACTATATGTTTTGTTTTGATATACAAGCCGTTCGGGTTTTTTCATCTACAATACATTCACACAAGGTTTTCCTGCTGAGCAAGAGATTCTAAATGAAGTTTTTTTTATAGCTTTCCCAAGCATAATTGTTTTTTGATTATTTTGAAGTAGGAGTTTATAAGCTATTTGCATTCACTTAGATTTGTTCTCTTCAGATAAACCTACTATATATCCATGTTTTGTTTCCTACATATTTCCTAAACTATTTTCAATGGAAAGTTTCTATTAAAGTATAGTATTTACTAGCACCAGAAGAAAGTTACTTTAATTTATTACTTTGAACATACATAACGATCAACCATGTTTTCTCTTTCATAAATTACCAGCAACCAGATAACAGTGTAATAGATCTGTCTACATTATTATTAAATAGGTATGGCATGCTTCCTACATTCATAATCACAGAACTGTTTGGAAGGCAAAAAGTAATGTTTTTCTCATTCATACAGCTATCTGGCACAACCAACAAACTTTTACTATAATCAGTCATGAGAGTAGTCCAAAAAAAAAAAAAAACTTCTGTAAAAAAAATACTCAGTATTTTGAAAATCTGACCCTTATTTCAGTGCTACTGGTACATTTGTCTTGCATTCTAAGGTTTACTGATTTTTATCAAAATGGGCTTTCATTGTTGATTCCCTCTTATTTCATCTTTGTTGTTTTCTGCATGTCTGGTCTTTTTTTCTGTGCCACTGGTACTTGTTAACTTGGTTTCCTTTTTCTCGAACAGCTTTCTAAGTTTTTTCCATCTGTTTAATCTTCCAGTGGCTAAGCTAAACAAATTAGCAATTATGGCTAACAAAGTTCTTATACTTAAAAGAAGATAGAGTTTTTCTTGATTTTGTTTAGGACACTAAAAGTTAGTATCCTGGATTTTGCAGGATTCTGATATAAAACTAGCTTATTAACTTACTAGTCTGGGGTATTCTGAGCATGAGGAAGACTTTTGATAACACCATCACTATGCACCACGGTAGAAATTGGTTTCAAGAAAAATAATTCAAATCCAAAATATTACCCAGTTATAATCAATAAAGTAAATTCAGATATAACAATGTTTTTAATTAATGTAAGAATCAGAATTTTAAATTTTATATCAGTAAGTATATAAAGTAAAGAACTTTTCTGTTTAGTACCAATATACTGAAAATAGTTCACCTCCCGAGCTTCTGAATACTTATATATATATATATAGAGAGAGAGAGAGAGAGCATGGCATATGTTATAGAATAATGTTTTGTGTGTGGTTACCAAGTTAAAACAAAGACATTTAAAAAAGTTAGTTCAGTGTTCCAACTCGATAAATACTAGTTTTGCAACTTTATTATATACACCTTGCAACACGTAGCTAGCTGCTTTGCGTAACTAAAACAAATATAATAGTGTGTTCCTGGCATGTCAACACTGCATAAAATATCTTAACTGAGGAGAAAGTCTGCAATGAATATTGCACATAGGCTATGCTTCTCTTGCAATATGGTTTTATTAAATACTAACATTATATAGTCATTTCTAAAATGTACACTGTCAAAAAAAAAAAGAGATATAAAACAGCTATATCATTACTTTCATTTCACATAAACTAATACAATATGAACAGAAACTTTGACTAAGCTGGAAATCACAGTCCAAACATTATCCGCACACTGTAGTTTACATACATTCTTTTCCTAAATGAAGAGGGCTTTGCAATTTGTGAGAATAATTCTTATATAAGAGTAGTTCCCTATAGTAGCTTAAAATATTTTAAATTTGTTGCTTTGAAACTTTGCTCCTCTCCCCAGGTTTCTGTATATCTTCCCTTTCCTGCAATCATATCTGGTGGCCATTTCATTCATATTAGGAAAACATGCGGGTTAAAAAAAATCTATATAACAAAAATAAAAAAACTTATAACCGAAGCACTTTCAAGAAGTGTATATTTTGAGAGCACTCAGGTTATAGGGTTTTGTATTTTTGTGCTGGCCATTTCATTACCAATCAAAACTACAATATGCAATACTGACCACAGTGAACATTGACCATTAGTTTCCAGGACAATGAAACATTAATAAATGGGAGATGGACTAACTTGAAAATTCATTAGATATATAGCTAAACAGACTGTGAATTCATGTTTAAAATAATTCTATATGATTTATATATATTAACAAGGAATAAGTACCAGTATAAAAGACTTGGAACATAATTAAGTCCTTATTTTTAGTATTTCTCACTTCAAAGATTAAGTTCTCACTGCCCATTCATTTAATCTAGAACATTCAGAGTTCAGGGCATGCATATTTCACAAAACCCTCAACAACAACAAATTATAAAACTCAATTGTTTTTTCAGACTGCCAAAGAATGGAGGAAAATCTCATAATTATATTATTTACAGTATCATTGTGCTGGTGTATCTGGTTTTAGTAGTAGTACTGAATTTCTTTCTACTTTCAATGTCTTCATTTGATTTTGTCATTATGGTAATTGACACAAACATGCATAATCAGTGTTATACATATTTAGATAAATAACAAACATAAGCTATTTGGCATCTATAACTGGAATTTGAAAGGTACTTACTGGTAATAATCCAACACCTGAAACAGCAATGGATTCACAGTTCTCTATGTCTTTAAAAGATATATTAGCTTGTAATGAAAGGAGAAAAACCTGAATGAACAGCATTTGTAGCTACTGTAAGATTGTTATCCAGGCATCCAGTTGCACTTTTGCTGGTTGTAAAAAGTACAAATGTGTATCCTGTAATTTCAGTACTTTGTAACTTTTGTTGAATAGCCAAGACTTCAAGAAATTGAGCTGACTGACTCTTGAGTTTTGAAAGATGTTGTTCCTAACTACTTGAAGGGCCCTGACTAGTAACCTTGTGTATTTAAATTGGTATAAGACATTTTTAGGCTATCTAACTGTTGCTTTAAGTTCTTGAGCTATTACTTGGATCCACTAATTTGTGTATGTTGAACTTAGAATTCTGACAGCTGTTAAATAGCTGGATCCCGAGAACTCAGATCGGTTGCTAAAACCTGTTTAATGCTTACTTGGTAGCATCCACTGGTTTAACTCATGATATGTATGTAAGTCACTTTTTCACAGAAGTTAAGGAAAGATAGTCAGTGGTATTTACAGCAGTGAAGTCTACTGATATTGTTGCTGCTGCACAACTGTCATTACTATTGAAAAGTATAAAATTTCACACAGTTATAAAAATACACAACTTCTGATAAAAACACTTTTAACATCAAGTGTTTGTACTCTTCATTTAAATTTCAAAAGAGAATAACTTTCACAATACTTGATGGCAATAATCAAAATAACAATGGGCAGAATATACATTACATATTTTAATCATACTTAAGCAGCTCATTCTTGCAAGTTGTCATTACAATTCAATTATTCGGTACATAGAATTATACTTAAAATCTCTACATGTACACATGAAAAAATAAAACTAAAACCTTGAAACAAGATACAATTGAAAGTGCATTATACAAAACACAGAGAAGCTTCATCACAGAAGGTTATACCTTTCAGAACTATATCTTCAACATTAAAATCTTTTGAAAACTACAGACCACACAAAGGTTTCTTTTTTCAATATTCTGCATATAGATCTGATAAACAGATTGGCTAATGTGTAACAAACCAGCAATAAAATACATATTTTTCAATATGAAGCACAAAAATAAGTGCAATGCATCTCCACATCCCTGCTAATACTAGAGCTATTAAAAATAAACCAAGATTATTTATTGGCCTTTCTTAAAATAAATATTATTGATAATCAAGAAATTATTATTAGACCTTTTTAATTTGTAACTTACATTTAAGATCTTATATGCCCAAAATATAAAGTTTTAAGATGGAAGCTTATTGATACTCTGATTAATCATCTGTTTTGTGTGTACAACTCAGAATCACATCAGTTACACAATACCTAAACTATAATCAATTATCTAATTCCACTGCTGTTCCAAATTTATAATATTGATGAAACAAAATCAAATGTTGGTTGAAATATCAATTTCTATTAGAAGATCATAAACTTTTGAGTTAACTTTCCATAAACTAAATATTACAGTAACATTTCCTAAAAAAAACATTGAGCTCAAAATTACCTGTTTAAAAAAAAAAAAAGTGGTAAATAAATTCTTTCAGTTTGTTCTACTCTATTTATTGAAAATGCATGATTTATAATGAGCTACCACAGCAAAACAGTGTGTAGATCTGATCAAATTATTAATGGAGTTTAGTACTTGTTTGTTTTAAACTTTTCATGCAAAGTTACACAAAGAGCTATCTGCACATAGTAATCTCTAATTTTGAGCTAACAGACTAGATGGTATGCAGTTAGTCAAGAGCAGCCACTGCCAACTCGTGTACTACTATACTATAATTTTTTCCTATTATAATTTTGATGCCGTTTATGATGGAACTAGAAATTTCATGAAATATTTCAAATACAAAACTTACTCCAATGTTTTGTCATGTAGCCAATTTTATTATTTACTGAAATTAATAGTTTATATCACCAATAGATAATAAAACAATTTCCATTATAACAAACCACCAACAGATTAATATCAGCATTATTCACTAGTTTAACCTTTTGTTTTAATTATAGCTGTAGTCAAATCAGCAATCTATGAAAAGTACCCTGAAATGATTTAAAGTAGCTTATAATTTTAATTTGAAATACACCATTACAAAAGAACTTCTCATTTATATTGCTAGTATGTGGTTCATTAAAGAATGTTCCAAAATTCCTGCAGTCAAATGACGCTCTTTAGTTTAGTAACTTCAGATTTACTGCAAACTCAACTATTGTTGACAACAGCTTAAACAAATTCAATAACTGCCAAATTTTACCACATCTTGAAATTTACAAAAACTATTGCACACACTGCTTACTCTAGATTAAAAACAAAAATGTTGTAATAATAATTCACATGTGAAAATAAATACTGGATGTGTGATTTGTTAACTACAATCCTTAGACAAAAAAAACTTTCTACACATGAGAAAAACAATGTAAAATCACTTAAATATTTGAAATGAAAGTATTAATAGTCAGATTGTAATTATATTTATTTCAACAAACTTACAATCATTTGAAAGGATACATATATTTTTCTGCATGAATGTAGAATTTTTATCACTAAGAAAATTCAAAAGGACAAATAAACCAATACACCAGCAATAGCCAGCCATATCTTCTAACTTTTAACATATTTTATTCACACACAATAAGATAATGAATAATATACACTCTGAAAATCCCAGGCATAAAGACTGAGCTTGTTTATTAATTTTGAAATTCTTGATTTTGCAAACAAACAAGGAACTATATTTTCATGGTGTTTTATTTTCTTGTGATGCTAACAAGTTTAGCATTTCAACTAATTTTTTTACAACCTCCAATAAATTTAGAGTTCAATTGTGAAAATTATAAAAGGTAGTCAAAGTTAATATTTGATTTTTTCCATTTAAACACTTCAGTTAATATATGAAATCATCCCACAAATTTTCTAGTATAAAGATTAATAATTTCATTGTTTGGAAGTTCTTTTGTTTAAATGCCAAGTCAATACAAAAGTTTAACACCAAAACAAAGTTCAAGTCATAAACAACTATACAGAACAAAAACTCTGTAAAAGGTAATTAAAACATAGTTAACAAAAAAAAGCTACATTTTTAAATTATAATTTCTATTAATAATCTGGTTCAAGCTGAAATAGCAGTACATTCATTAACAAACGTTATGCCAAACTCAATGGGGCAAATTAAAGAGGAAATTATATCTAATACTGATAACACATTATTTCAAAAATCTGATAATAAAAATTCAAATACTGCAGGAAAATTATGTCCTCTCTGAAACTAAGAAATATCGCAAATAATTTTATATAAATCTTTAAATCTCTAGCACTGAACAAATCCTTTTGGTTAGGAGGCTGGTTACAGGCCCGTATCTATGTAACACTTATTATTTTCAATAAAAAATATAACAGTATGTGAAAGAGAAAAGCAAAATGAGAGTTTATCACCTCCATGTCAAATATATATACTGCAGTTTAGATTTATTTAAAAAATGTTTAATTCTGCATTGTAAGAACTGTTCACATTTGTTTTCTTACTTCACAGTTTCAATTAAATAACAACTGTTATGAATCCAACACACTATATCCATACTTCTTTCTAATACTATAAGAATCACCCACAATTTTAATCTGAATGGGAAATGTAATCACTTATCAAATGAACCTACTCCAAACACTGTAGCATCCCTTATTTCAAAATATTGTTTCGATTTAGTTTTATTCTTTCATTCCTATGTTAGTACTGGTCTTTTTTTCATTTGACAGTTACTCAATAATAATTTTTTACAAAGCTTATAAAAACAATTTCTTCTCTTATATTCAACTTAAAAATTAGTTCTGATCTTTGCAATGAATATCATTATACCAAGCAATATTTATATTCTTACAATATCCCTAACTATATTTTGTTCATAATTTTCAATTACTCAAAGAGAAAGAAATGGTAAAAGACATTCATTTTCTTCCCAGGTGTTCGGGAAATATGAATATTCATATTCCAGAAATGTCATTAAAAACACAATGAATGACAGTCATGTGTAATTGAAAATCACATAAATTACACAAAAGTTTCTGTGTAACATTTAAACTTCACTTTTTCTTAAAATTAAAATCAACAAATCTCCCAATAAATCATCAAGTGCAGTGTAACTTAGTGAAGAACAGACAGACACGTACGTTTTACCAAATGATTGCTAGTATGGTCTCTGTGTAAATTCTACAAAGTTAATGCTAAAATGCCATAACCCAAGACTGCACCTCCCAATCACTTATAGCAGCTGCATCACTGTGAACACCTACTTAGAACAAACATGGATAGCAAATTGGTCCTCAGAGTCAAAACCATTGTGACATGATGCACAAATTAACTGGATGAGTTCTTTATTGGCTATGTCCTCTGACTGCTGTTGCTGCTCCCCCTCACGTTGTAGAGAGATGCTTGATTCTTCATTCACCAACTGTTCATTATTTTTTTTAGTACAAGATCCTAAGCATAACAAACACATCAATGTATCATTTCAAAATATACTGTATGATCAGGATGGATAAATAACTAAACACATTTACACTTACAATAAGTAAAAGTCACTACTGTCTACACTTAAAAGTGAAAACTGAGTTTGAAATGGAAAAATTGATAGTGTGCATATCAAAAATAAGAAAGACAAAACTGAGTTTAAAATTAAGTACTTGATGGTGTGCATATCAAAGATAAAGTGAAATTAAATTCAAAATTAAGCATTTGGCAGTGTACATGTCAAAGATAAAGAAAACTGAGTTTAAAATTAAGTACTTGACAGTATGCATGTCAAAGATAGAGAGAATTAAATACTTGATGGTGTGCATATCCAAGATGACAAGAAAAGTAAATTATACATGAACAAATAATGCACTGAAACTAAAATAATTTTATAATAAGAATGTGAATTATATTTAATTTCTGTAGTGCATATTGTTTTACAGAAGACATTAATACTAGAAATAAATGACCTTATAACACCAAAATGTAGTTTTTTATTTAAGTAGATACATCAATGTTTCCTTAGGAACATTCACCAAAACATACAGTACAAAGCTTCAAATGGTTTAAATAATAAATTCTATTTGAATCTATAACATGCATTTCTACAGTCTGCTTTTGACATATTAAGTAGTAAATCTTATTGTTGAAATAATTAAGTGCTACCTGTAGTAAAAAAAGTTCTATCTAGGATAAAAATTAAATTAATTTAAATTATAGGCCCCATACTTTGTCCCTATTCATCTTTAGTTGAGGAGAAGATAATTTTCTGCCGGTGTACTTGGTGAGGATTTGTACAGAGAATGGTGGTTTCAAATCAGTTGTTACTTGTCCACGATTAGTTAAAAAATGATCTGCAACTGTGCTTCTTTCATGTTGTTGTTTATAAAGAATGTCAATATTTTCTCCTATCCTTGTGTGTAGGGTTCTTCGGGTTTCTCCCATGTATATATGATGGCAAATGTTATACGTAGCTGGTAAACAACATTGGAGACCAGACACACATTTTTAGATTGCAACACGTTTTTGTAAGACAGTTGGCTTTATTACATTGTAGCGTAGTGTACTGATATTTTGAAAGTTGTTTTTTTAGGGTTGGAACTGACCATTCTATAACTTTTTTTTATTATAGTTTTTATTTTCTTGGAGATAACTTTGTCAATTAGAGGTGTTATACAAATAATCTTTTTTTGTGTTATCTTTGAAAAATTGTTTTTTCTTCCTTGTTTATCTGTTCTCTTTCATGTTGGAAGTGTGATGCTGATTTTTGCATGTCATAGTTCTTAAAAATTTGTTCGACTTAAAAAGGTGAATATTCGTTTCTCAAAATGGTGCCTATAATTCTAATTTTATTTATTATTATTTTATTTTTTATGCTATTATTTTTTTATTTCATTCTGATAGAACTTGTTTACTACAGATAGTATTTAACTATTTCAACAATAATTTTCTTTCAAAAATAAGCTTTACTACTTAATATGTCAAAAGCACACTGTAAAAAATGCATGTTATAGATTCAAATATAATTTATTATTTAAACCATTTGAAGCTTTGTACTGTAAGTTTTGGTATGTGTTTTTAGTAAATGCTCCTGAAGAAGTTGTAAAGTGAAACACTGATGTATCTAATTAAATAAAAACTACATTTTGGTGTTATAAGGATGTTTATTTCTGGTATTAAAAATTAGAATTTTTGTATATAATAGCTACATGGTCTGCAAGTGTACTTTTGAGTTTACATACAATTCAGTTATGACCACAATTCTTTAATGATGAGATGACAGAAAAAACTACTGAACACATCCCAAAGAAAATGCTGTAATAAATAAATCTGAAATGTGTAGTACCACTCTCAGCTGACACTTCAACTTTAAAAAGTGAAAAAACCATCACTTAGATAATACATGATCATAAAACAAGACGGTATTGGTTTCACTTTCGAATTTAGTTTGTAAATACATTGTTTTTTAGACCCTATGCTAGTTTTTATTGACATTTCCTAGACAATTCTGATCATAGTTACTAATCTTAGTTCACATAAGAATATCTGAAATGATTTCATATGAAACACATAGCTAGTTTTTGATCAGGATATTTCCTTTTACTAGTTCTATTTCTATTCATAACTATGACAAGTATAAGAATTAGTGCTGCTTTGCCAATTAAAGTAAAATGCAACAAAAATCTAAATGCCTTGATTTCCTGGTGTCTCCTTGATTTTACAGAACATCAATATTAAGAAAAGTTTCTAACTCTTTCGTATTATACCTACATTCTCCTTTTTTCTTTGTAATCAACATGAAAAACACTTTTCTGTCTATGATTTTACTCCAGATAAGGTCTACAAATACCTGGGAAGAATATACTGATACACACTTAATGAGAAATATTACAATCCAGAAAAAGTGTCTTAATTATGTCCTTTTTGATGTAAAAAATACAAGGTATTTTACTGTATAAAACAATGTTAGAGCAAAATACATACAAAATTAACAGATAAAAGATTCAGAATAAAACAGTATCATTTTAGCATACACTATTCTGACAGAAGAATATGAAATGTAAGCTTGTTAAATCATGAATTAAACATCTTCACCTAAAATACACTTAGCTTCAATAAAAAAAAAGTAAGACTTTTCTTCTACAATGTTTGATAATAAAAAAAAACTTTAAAAAGTATCAAATGGTTTGGAAGTTCACCTTCACAGAATAAAGTTTAGAAAAATCTAAAAGCACCACAAAACATGCTGTATATAATTAAGAAGAAAATCTACTGAAATTGATCATTTTTATGGAATTCTAGATAATCATCAACAATCAAAGATAAAGTAAATTCTGACTAATAAGTTCACTTTCTTTTAAATTATAGTTTAGAGGTAACAACAACATTATTTACAGAAAGGCCTAATATTATTTCTAGATATTTGAATTAGTAGGCAAATTTCCATGGCATATAATCAACATCCTTTCCAAGTGATGCAAATCCATTAAATGTGTAAATTTTAGACTGGAATACTCAAAATATTCCATAATATTTCTTTCAATTTGAACAAAACCTAGGTGTTGGCTTACCAGATATGGCCTTTTTAGACTGAACTTTCTCTCTGTGAACTTCCAAATGTTTTTCTAGTTGTTGTCTTTTGAAAAAAGCTGAGAAAATAAAAATAACAATTGCTATCACTATTTCTAAAAGCACTTTATATTTAATGCTTTCATTTTGCTGTGTGGCAATTTTTTTCTTGTTTTCCAGATTTTTATACTGTGTGCAACCAAAACCCACTTCTATGTAACATGATGTTAATTTTCTCTACAAAGCCTGTGACTGATTAAACTCTTATGATGAAGTTTTTTCAACAGTACGTGGTTTGGAAGAGTAAACAAGACCTTAAAAATACTTCCGATAGTGAACATTTGTAAATTATACAAAAATATTCTGAACTATCATCATAGTGTTAAATTTACTGTCAGCTGGTTTACAAAAGAGTAAACTTGTAGAAAAAACAGGCAAGTAATTTTAATTAAAAAATAAGATTTATTGACAATGGTAGATACAGTTGATAACTATAACTTGTTTACACTTATTATTCTAGCAATGTCAGTGATACCTACAATTGGAAAAGGGATAACTAATCGTCATAAAGTCTGGAAAACACAAAAAAAATTTACAGTAATGTTTTGTAAGTTCTCACTGAGGTACAAGATTTAAACCTTTATTGAAAATAAGAATAAAAATTTCAGTGAGCAGTAAATTTGCACTGGTTAATCTAAAACTTATTTCTGTGCATGTTTATATATGTATATAAATATAAAAAATGATAAAATGTCAATAAAGTTATTATGTCACTATCTTTCAATTGCTTACTGGTATCTGTGAAATTTTATAAATAAATTTAAATACATGAATAACATAATATTATAAACTCTCCAATACATAGGCATCACTAAAATTTGTTAAAGTTTTGAAAAGTTTACTTTTCAAAATCACAAAACTGTGACAATGGTAAGAATCTGATATACAATCTAAGTCAAAAAATTATAATTTCTACTAACTGATACACTAAAACCACTTACTATGTTATGGTATGAATGTCATTTTCAAGCTGGCAAAGAATGATTAATTAATTTACTTGGCATTAAACATTAGTATTAGGCCTATTATATTTTTTAACATTGCATTCTATATCTAGTCTCTTAAAGATATAATAGTGTACAATAATAGTATTCCAATCACACTATGTTTGCCATATCCATTGCTGAAGACACGTTTTGCTCAATCCAGAGTTTTGCAAGTTGGCTGGAACACAGTAGTGGTCAGAACACTATATAAACCATTTGTTACAACAACAGTTGTTATGGTTTGAATGCTTTCTTCAAGCAGGTGAACCATGATTTTTGTTAATTTACATGTCATTAGACATTAATATTAAGTCTATTATATTATTCAACACTGCATGCTATATCTAGTCCCTTGGCGTGACAAACAGGTTATATAAATAGTGTTCCGACTTCTGTGCTTAGTGTGTCCCAGTCAGGCTGATGAGATCTGGGTTGAGCAAAACTCATCATTAGCAATGGGTACGTCAAACATAATGTGGTTAGAATACTATTATTATATGCTCTTCCAAAGGGATTAGATATATAATGCAGTGTAAAAACATGTAATAGGCCTAACACTAAAATTTAATGTTACAGAAATTAAAAATAAAAACTAGCAATGAAATGTCTAAACACTATGGAAGTAGTGTTAGTAATTAATTTAGTGTATATATGAGTGACACTATCTTCTGTTTAGTTCAATAAAATTGAGAAATTAATACACAATATACTTTATTTAATATGTTAAGAGAAATATTAGTGATAAAACACACCAAAATAGTGAATAATAATCTTAATGTATAAATAATTTCCTGTAGACCACCAATCTTTGGAAGTTTCACAAAAAAATAAATAAATGGTTACAACTTACAGTGTATTTTTCTCAGTCATGTATGAATCACCAAGAAAACAAAAAACACAAGATGACATATTTGTCAAACATTTGTATCTATTATATAAAAACTAAAATATAAACAAATAAAATTTTTAGCACCTTCTACTGGGGTTTAAAATAAGTATGAAAATCTGTTACACCTTAAAAAAATATAGAAATACATTTTGTTGCTGAAATAAAGCCATACCTTAGTTAGTTGTGTAAAGGTACCTTAAACTGCAATAATTCTATTGCTCCTAACATATCACACTACACTAGCCCTCATAGCTGCAGCTATACCTGTATCACACTACACTAGCCCTCATAGCTACAGCTATACCTGTATCACACAACACTAGCCCTCATAGCTACAGCTATACCTGTAAGACACTACACTAGCCTTCATAGCTATACCTGTAAGGTACTACACTAGCCTTCACATCTATAGCTATACCTCTCAGATATTACATTAGCCTTCATAGCAACAACTGTGAGACATTAAATTAGTCTTCAAAGCTACACTCTCCAGATATTATACTAGCCTTCAAAATTAATTATATATTAAAGTGAATAAATAAAGAACTTTTGTAATGGAAATTTTGGTCCTTTTGTATAAACAATATTAATTTTAAGTCTAAATTCATTTACAACAACACTTGTTTTTGTTTTTTTTATATAAAAAATATATATAAATAAACTGTGTAAGATATAGTTTACCTTTACCACAGTGAGAACAATCAAAATCACGTTTTTCTTGGTGAGACTTCATGTGATTATAAAGTCCCATTTTTGAGGACAACTTCTTGTTACATCCTTCCCATGGACATGGTACAGGAGGACTGTAAGAGGAAATATTAGATAAAACAAATTATATTATAAAAGGTATAGTAAACTTAATATTTAAATCATCTTATTTTAATGATTTTACCACAAAAAGGTATATCATAAAAGTATTTTCAACAGCCAGTCCTTCCTTTGGAAGTTTCAAACATACCTTAACAATGGCATTGCCAACCACACCAGGATAAATTTTATTATAACTACACTTTACACTATTTTGCAAAGCAATAAACTCTGCCATAATCAGTATTATGAGATCCTTCAACCAACAAAATTATGCCACAAAGGCATATAAAAGATAAGTATTAATAAAGTTGTTCTATTTGTCAACCAACTTAAACAAGTCCACCCCCCCCAAAAAAATAAACAACAACAAACAAATAGCAGGAAATAAACAATTGAATGAAATGGTAATATCATTATTGTTATTATTTTTAAGAATTTTCACTAAAACTGTCAAACTTCCTTAATCACCCTGCTCTCAGCTCTACCTGTTCATCAAATCATCCAACAGAAGTTAATAACAATCATTTGCTATGGCCATATAGCTTGACAATCAACTTAAGAGAAGCAGAAACAAGTTACAGGAAGAAACAAATTATCCAAAATTAACTTATAAGAAAAAACAAACAGAAATAAACTCAAAAGCTCATTTTAGATAAATAGCAGTTGTAGCAATTAACTATACCAATATCCTTGAAAATACACTTTTATTAGTCTTTTCTCCAAGCTTTTTTTGTCTAAAAATGACTGGTATATTTAGACTTTGATGGAAAAGATACTTGTAATTAATATAAATTTTTCAGAAAATTTAAATTTCAAAATATTAGGCTTAACTTCAATACTAAAAGAATTTGCAAAACTGATAAGCTGAAATGTCAGAAACTTAAGAATAAATTAACTTTATATATAAATAAGCATGCAATACACCATTCTGAATATCTAAGAAAAACAAAAGTACATTATTCAGCTACAAAAAGGTATTCACAATTACAAGGATTTTATGGCTATTCCTCACAATTCTATAAACTAATTAGGGATTTAAATTGCTTTTGTTAAAGCTGGTTTAATGATGATCTTATGCTGTTGCACACTATCATTTTGTAAATTATCTGTCTGTTAGATTAGATGTATGGTCTTGTGATACAAATAAACTCCAAATTACATTCCTACAAGAGTTACACTTCTTTATCAACTAAAATCACTTCAAATTGTCTGTTAAGAGTGAAAATTTTTCAACACTGAAAATGCATTTCCAATGGATACTCATCTCTTCTCCTATCTAGCTTTCTTGAATCAGTAATGCCTTCTATATACAAAATTTTTCACTTGCCACTTGTCTCGAGACTCTTAACTTAATCTCATATGTTTTCACATGATATTTTTGCACTGTTGAATGCCATAATCCTCCACCAATAGAAGTGCAACAACACCTCCTAGCACAGCTAGCTCCCACTATACTCACTGTTAAATCATCACTTTGTAAGTAGACAAGAAAGTAAGATTCACAAGAAGTGGGTGGGGGGGGGGGAGAGTGGGAAGTGTAAAAAGAAGAATCTATCATAAGTACATTTTCAGTGTTGAAAAATGTTACTTTCTGATACGATATGTCACCTTTACTCACATCTAACTAGAATCCCACAATTAAGTGGGGGTACCAGTGCAAAATTTTACCTAGATGAGCCTCCTTCAAGAAACATCCAAAAGAGCCCTTGGAGTGCAACACCCTATACCAGTGGTTCCCAACCTTTTGTGGCCCTTTCACCCCTCCCCTAAAAAGTGTGCATTACATATTTACTCTTGGCGACATATGGGGGAAAAATGAACCTTGTATGGCCTCTTACACGCACCCCCTGGACCCTCATTTTGCACCCCTGGTTGGGAACCCCTGTCCTATACCAAGGAAAAGTATAAGAACACACTTTTAGGAGACAGCATTTTGTCTGTACCATGGTACATTCTTTGCCCAGAAAGATAGGAAAGTGTCACAAGGATATGCCAAAGATACAAGCACAGACCAAACCCTGCATCAGCATTTCAGAAGTGATGTACGTGTACTCTGAATAGTTAAACACAAAGCTACACAATGGGCTATCTGTGCTTTGCCCACCACAGGTATCAAAACCCAGTTTCTAGCTTTGTAAGTCAGAAGACATACCGCTGTGCCACTGGGGAGCAGTCTGAATAGGGAATGTCAGACTATATGTGGTGGGTCAACTCCAGTCCAAAACTAAGGGTCACTGGGAATTGCTTTCAGAGAGCTGTAGGGGGAGGGTCCCTACCATCTTCACCTCAAGCCCAATGAGACAGAATAGAAAAGTAACATACATCTTACAACTGAGTGAGGTCTTATATATATTGGCTGGTCCTATGCCAATCCAACATCAGACCACACAAGAGCCAAACTTCCAAGTAGTAGTAGTAGTAGTAGGATAAGGGAAAATAAGCCAGACTACACTGACAGAACACTACCACCCTATTCTTTACTGAGTAGATGTGATCACAATCAGGAGGCATCTCCATGATCCACCACTCCAGTGGCTAAGAACTGGTGTGTGGCAAGGACTCTCATGCTCCACTAGAAAAAAAAAAACAGAATGGGAAAGGCAGAGGGCTACAATGAAGGAGAGTCCTAACCATCCTATGGGGTACTGAACAAATCACATACACAAAGCCAAAGTGATGACACAGTTGGATGGAAGAGAGAAGTACGAGGCTGAAGAAGAAGGGAGAAGGACAGCTGAAGAAGAAGGGAGAAGGACAGCTGAAGAGGAGGGGAGGAATTCAGAAGGCTCAGCAGAGGAAACCATGATTGGGCTAGCAAATAAAGTGCCACCAGAAGGATCCAACAAAGTGTGTCTCGAATAAGGGAGAGAACTCAAGGGAAAAGATGAATAGAGGATAATATTGGACCTTTCCTAACTAAATGCATCCACCACCAATACTGATGTATGTGAACCAGGAGACTTGAATAGGGGAAGCTTGGCACTGTTGTAAATTGCAAAGGCATTGATGTAAGGTGTCCAGACAAGAGCAAAACCATTAAAAAACAAGAGGATTGAAGGACCACTTTGAAGTCCAAAGTGAGCACGATCTAAGGGATAAAGGGTTCCAAGGAAGTCCAAGTCCCCAGTAGATAGAGAACCTCTTGCAGAGGAAGAAAAGGAGGATAGAGTTGTATAAACTTCACGGCCTAAAAACAAAGCTGAGAAGAACACACCTAAATTAACAAGATACTAGGTGGATGAGATTTCTCCAGCTTGACTTAGCAATCTAGATGAGCCACCTCCCAAAGAAGGAAAAGAGTAAGGTTGAAGAAGTCTTGTTGGGATGGAGATAAAAGAAGCCAGTCATCCATATAATGGTGGAATCTCAAACTGAAGCTGTTAATGTGATAACTGAAGGCACACAATAAATCACAAAAAAAAGTATGGGGCTGACACCAAGCTAAAAGGAGGAGCTCAGAACTGATAAACCCAATGGTGATGTACTTACTGGAGATAAATTCTCAATGCTGGGAAGATAAATGGGAATGTGAAAATATGCATCAGAGAAGTCAACCATGTTCATCCAAAGTCATGGAGAAAAAGACCATTGGAAAGTGAGGAAACACCTCATCATAAACTGAAGAAGGTCGGTCGAGAATCTGAAGAAGATGGGATAGAACGATGACAAGATTACAATCCCCAGTGTACTGGGAAACAACAAACAGGCTGGAATAAAATTCCAGAGAAGGGTAAGTAACCCTTTTGATAATGTCCTTAGCCAAAAGGTCCGACACTGCCTCTGAGAGATGATGGTGGGAGACAGGATCTCCTGGGAAAGGAATGGTAACAAGAGACAAAGGGAATGAGAGGAAAAATGAAGGCTAAAGCCCACAGATAGAACCTGTAGCCTCCAACAATCAGCCGCAAAAGGAATCCATATATCTATAAATCAAGCCAAATGAGCCCCCACTGTTCCTGAGCCCAAAATCTATTCACTGATAAGACTGTCAGCACTGAAACCTAAGAATAGTGGATAAACAGATGAGAGAAGAGGAATGAGATGGAAGAACAGGAAATGGAAATGAGTTGGTAGGATGGGAGACAGCACCTGGAAGAGGAGGAGTTTGGGAAAGATGAGACACATGGGTAGTCAAGTAAAAATGTCAGTGCAAAGCCTCAGCCCATGACTACAAAGAATAAGGTACCCAACCAAAAACCCGTTGGTAGAGGAAAGGAGTCAGATGAAGGTCCACGATATAAGAGAGAGATAAACATACTTGGGCAAAAAGGGCATCCCTCCCCAACAAAGCCAAGTGACAAAGTAACCAAGTGAGAGGGGACAAGGCTCAGGAAAAAGAATGTAGAAAAAGTAAGGGGAAAGGGAACAAGTGTCTGCCAAAAAACCCTCAGGGGAATAGTGAATTGCTTCCAAAAGGAGATGGATAGAGAATAGATAAAATAAAAGGGTAGCAAGGATAAGACAAAGGCAAAAAAACTGAAACTGAAGACTAATAGAGGACAATGGATCAGAACCCCAAGCCTGAAGAATAAACTCCAGAGTTTGGAAGTAAAAAAAAAAGGGATTCTGGGGGAATGGTGAATAGCTTACAAAAAGAGATGGATAGAGGATAGATAATATAAAACAGTAAGGCAAAGCCACTGAAACTGAAAAAAACTAATGGAGGACAATGGATCAAAACACCAAGCCTGAAGAAGAAACTCCAGAGTTTGGAAGTCCAAGAAAAGATTCAGCTCAAATGTATGTCAAGGAACATGTGCAAAGAGTCAAGGAAGACAAGACATACTGACACCTGAGTGAAGACAAAATAATTTCAGTATGGACTATGGACTCAGGTGAATGAGGAAAACCATATTCTAAAGCACAGACAAAATGAAGAATAATAAATGAGAGAGAGTGAAAGTATGCAAGACTCCACCACCTGCTGCACAATAACTGTCATGCCCCCTGACAGACAAAGAAGCAGCTGACACCATTGTGGTAGTCGGTAGTC